CCGCGGGCCCGCAGCTGTATGCTAATGCGCCGCGGGCCGCCCGCCCGCCCCGCCCCGCGCCGCCGCGGACAAAGGGCTGCGGGAGCGGGGCCGCGGCCCGGGGCTGCCTCTCGCCGCCGCCCTGCACCTGCCGCGTCCTCGGCGGCGCCGGGCGCCTGTGCTTGGACGCAGACCGCGGCGAGCGGGGACAGGGGGACCCTCTGCCCGTCGGCCGCCGCGCCTCCGACCCGCCGCGCGGCGTTTCGGGCCGAAACCGAGCGCCGCCGTCGCCGTCCCTGCCCGTTCCGGACCCGTTAGGGTTAGAGTTAGGGTCAGAGTAACAGGTTCGGCTGCCACCGGGCCGGGGCTGTGGCTCCGCCTGCCCGCAGCGGCGCGGAGCTGTTCCGTTCGCGGGCTTGCCGGGCTCGGCCGGGCCCCGATGACCCGTTCGATATTCCTCCCGCTCGCGCGGACCCGCCGTTGGCCACCTGCTGCCGCCGCCTCCGCCGCCGCCGCCGCCGGGCTGCACCCCCGGCGGGCAGCCCCGCTCCCCTCCGTGCCGCCGCCACCGGCGCCACTTTGGCCTCCCCGCGCGCCGAACTCCGCGGTCCCCGCAGGCGGCCGGGCCGCCGAGAGCGGCCGGCGCTCCGTGCCGGGGCTGGCGGGCGGCCCGGGAGCGGGGGGCGGCACACAAAGGCCGCGCGTGCCGGGCGGGCGGCGCGGGGCGGGCGGGGGCGGGGCCGGGCGTGTGCCGCTCCGGGCTCAGGTGCGGCCGCGCCGCCGCCGCCGCCGCTGATTGGCCCGTGCCGCCGCCGCCGGCCCGAACAATGGCCCCGGCCCGCTTAAAGGCGGCGGCGGCCGCGCCGCGAGCAGAGCGAGGAGCCTCCGTCGCGGCCGCCGGCGGCCCGGAGCCGGCGCGAAGATGCCCCGGGGCTTCCTGGTGAAGCGCAGCCGGCGGCCCACCCCCGTGTCGTACCGGGCGCGCTGCTGCCGCGAGTCCGCCGCCGGCCCGCCGGTCCCCGCCGGCGCCGCCCCGCCGCCCGCCTGCCCCGCCGCGCCGCCGCCCCCGCCGCGGGACTCGCCGCCGCCGGTGCCGTTCGGGACGCCCGATGCCGCCGTGCAGGCGCTGTACAGCCCCACGCGGCCCGTCAGCAGGGACAAGTACCTGGAGCGCGGCTTCAGCCTGGGCTCGCCCGTCTCGGCCGAGTCCTTCCCCGCGCCGGCCGTGCCCGGCACCATGGACCCCATCCTCTTCGCCCCGGCCGACCTTAAGCTCTGGGCCGCTGCCGGCCACGCCGAGCCGCCCGCCGCCCACCCCGGCCCCGGCGCGGCCCCCGCTCCGCCCGCCCCGGCCGCGCCGCCCGCCTCGGGCCGCCCGCTGCCCGCCAAGCGCCCGCCGGGCGCGTCCGAAGCCGGGCGGCAGAAGGCTCCGTCGGGCAAGAAGACGAAGGCGATCCGCAAGCTGACCTTCGAGGACGAAGTGACCACCTCGCCCGTGCTGGGGCTGCGCATCAAGGAGGGCCCGGTGGAAGCGCCGGCCAAGGCGCGGGGCGGTTGCGCCCGTCCGCTGGGCGAGTTCATCTGCCAGCTCTGCAAGGAGGAGTACGGGGACCCCTTCGCGCTGGCGCAGCACCGCTGCTCCCGCATCGTCCGGGTGGAGTACCGCTGCCCCGAGTGCGACAAGGTCTTCTCCTGCCCCGCCAACCTCGCCTCCCACCGCCGCTGGCACAAACCGCGTCCGCCCGCCACCAAGAGCGGCCCCGAGGCGGGCCGAGCACCGGCCGCGGGCCCGAGCCCGGCGCCGGCCGAGGAGACGCCGAAGGAGGCGAGCGGCGGCAGCGGCAGCGAGCGGGACACGCCGAGCCCCGGCGGAGCCTCGGAGGCGGGCTCCGAGGAGGGGCTCTTCGAGTGTCCCCGCTGCGCCAAGCGGTTCCGCCGGCAAGCCTACCTGCGCAAGCACCTGCTGGGGCACGCCGCGCCGGCAGCCGCGACGGCACCGGCAGCCGCGGCGGCCCCGGAGCCCAGCGCCGAGGAGCCGCCCGCCGCCGAGTGCCGCCTCTGCCCCGTCTGCGGGGAGACCTTCCCCAGCAAGAGCAGCCAGGAGCGGCACCTGCGCCTCCTGCACGCCGCCCAGGTCTTCCCCTGCAAGTACTGCCCGGCCACCTTCTACAGCTCTCCCGGCCTCACCCGGCACATCAACAAGTGCCACCCGTCGGAGAACCGGCAGGTCATCCTGCTCCAGGTGCCGCTGCGCCCCGCCTGCTGAGCCGCCCGTGCCTTCCCCGCCGCCCCGCGCCGCTCCCCCGGGGCCGCCACACGATTAGCTTTAATACAGCTTGTGACCTGCTGGAATCTGGCTTTACACTTACCTTCCCGGGGTCTATCTCTCTTCTTTTTTTCTT